ACACACACTAACATCATNTTTGTTACCTATCATCCAGTGTACGTCTTACCTTACCAGCAGTACATCAGGACGCCATGAGTTCGATTATCAATTGATGTCCCAGGACAACCATGGGTAAGTCAATGCTACTAAATTTTGTTTCTTTATTTGTTTCTTTGTTGTTTTGCACTTACAAATAAAACAAAACGTAACAATTGAAAGATAAGTATACATGCATGTGTGGGCCGAAAACCTGGTGGTTTATCTTTGGCCCTCCCCAATACTACAAGGTTAAAAGATAAATTACCCTTATTACTAAATGAACCAGAACGCAGAATACAAAATAGCAGGAAATAAACAAAAACGATTCGAAGAACTAAATTAAATAATACAAAACATCTATCTGAACAAATAAAGAAAGATCAAACTAATTAGCCTAGATATTATATGAGTAAGTTGTCAAATCAACAAAACAAATTTAAAGTTGTAGAACTAAAATGTGGCGTGAATTGTTTGTTTATTGAGATCTCCATTAGTATGGTAAACTCCATACTATTCTTCTTGGAGTCCATCCACATAAAATAAAATGACAATAATAATAATAATTACTTTTAGCAATAATGATAATAAATAAAACATACAAATTATGCTGAAATTATGACAAACTTGAAACAAAATCAGCATAGAGAAATAAAAGTGCATTGGAGATCAGACGTCGAATAATAGAAATAATATTCTGAAATTAAAGTAATAATTGAGGTACTTTCCAATCAATGGAAATTGAAGTAACAAAACTGTTAACAAATATTTGAACTGACACAAATAATAATAACAAAACTACAAACGACAAATGAAACAATCTATACGCAACAAAATGTAATTCCTTTAATTCAATTTCAATTTCCTGTTATAGCTACAGCTGTTGCTGATATTCCCATGATAAGTGGCTTGGTTATCACGACATTGTGCAAATGATTTGTTTTCTTGGGGTCGTGTGGCGAAATTAACGGCACAGTGCTCAACTCGGAACCAAGAGGTCCCGGGTTCGAGTCCTGACATGCCACCGACCTTGTGCATTATGGGAAAGGCACTTAACACGACTTTCCCCACTTAACTATTTGTTTCTATGCGTGGTACACACTACCAGCAACAGCTGTCTGTGTCCCACGTGTATTGCACTGTTGCAAAATTTAAATAAATCAAATCAAATCAAATTGTTTTCAATGGCCACGCCAATAATCAAGCCACGGTCATTTTTGTTTTCCTTTACAGAAAACCCCGCGGTGCTATTGGTCCATACTGAGTATGGCTCATCTCAGGATGAAACCTCCCCCTTAAACCAGCAGGTGGTAGACATACTCAGGGAACGCGAATCAGACATACCTGTGCTCATGACAGTTTTAAAAGCGAATGAAGAGGACATCCAGAATGCAAAACGCGATGGGATAGAACTACTGCTGCCTACACTTGACCCAGATGATCCTAGTCGGACTGACCCATCACCAAATTGGCTGACATTTGACCACCTATCCAAATACCAAAATCTTCCCCAAAAGGTCAGAAGCATCGTAGGTCACTCAGACGTCACAAGTAGGGCTGCGGTGAGGATCAAACAGGAACGTTACTCTGCATCTGATGCAAGAATCGTCCTCTTAACCACTGACATACCAGAAGACACCGAGTACTACAAGGGAGATGAGAAGGCCATGGGCATCGGGAAGAAGGAAGACTCCATCCTTGAAGATGCACAAGAAGCTGACGTGGTCTTTTCTCTTGGAAACAAGATATTTGATCACTTTGAGAACCAGTTCAGAGCAATACCTGCCAGCAAGAGGCCTCAGCATGTCAAGTTTGTTCCGAGACCTTCCAAGATCTTTGAAGATGCAGAAGCTGAATACAAGAACACAGAGACACTGGTGGTCCTGTCCATCGGTAGGGTGAAGGGTGTTGAAAAACTGAAGGGATATGACCTTTCTGTTGAATCCCTGAGCCTTGTAGCAGAGAAGATGAAAGTTAAGTTTCGTGTCATGGGAGTTGACAAAGATGTCATTGAAACACGCAAGGCAATCCTAAAGCACCGTAAGTCAGCAAACCTACAGATAACCCTCCTCCCATACGGCTCACAGAAGGACATCTGTAAAGAGATGATGCAGGCCCACCTGGTCCTGATGCCTTCTCGTGCTGAACCGTTCGGACTGGTCGGCCTGGAGGCCATCGCAGCAGGCGTCCCTGTTCTTGTATCAAGCAAGTCTGGGCTGGCAGACTTCATCCAGGAACATGTAGATGAGCTGCATCATTCCATTGTTGATATGGATGAACATGAGGAAGGTGTCACTGTGAAATGTCTAGCTCGCAGCATCGAGAGAATGCTAAAGCACAACAGGACAGAGTTTGAAACAGCAGCAAGGTGTAAGAAGAAGCTTCTGTCCTCAAAGTACTGGGAAGAATCTCATCAGCAGTTCGTCAAAGCTTGTACAGATGCAGGTGAGTACATCTTTGTTTTATATCTTATCTCATCTAATAACATCCTTACTGATTTGAACAAAAGAATAAACTAATAGAAGTTATGTAAAAGGAACGGATTTCCATATAATGAACACTGTTGAGCATCTTAAACTTTAATAATGATT